TTTATTTCATTGGACATAAATCCTTTTACAATATATTCAATTTTCTTACAAATTTGAAACATGAAATAACGTAACCTGAAATTATACATGTACATACCTAAAAAAATAGTATAAACAAGATATATTGGTCAATCAATGGTAAAAAGTTCATAATTTAGAAAAATGGTAATAAAAGTAATAAAATTAGTGAAAGTGCCACCCTATTATCATGTAGTGATCAATGAACTGGAGTGGGGTAGAAAGCTAATGTGCATATTTTATCAATTGAACAAGATGCGACTCTATGGGCGCAGCCATTTTTATTTCTCATCTCACTCGGGAGTATTTATAATAACCATTTTCTGTTTCACATTGTTATTGTTCAATCCACAGGCTGGTGGATCAGACAATAACAAAGTGAAATAGGAAATGGTCGTTATAAATACTCCCGAGTGAGATGAAAAATAACCTGTCTTCGCCCATAGAGTCGCATCTCAAGCCTATTGACAAGCATTCTACCCCACTCCAGTTCATTGGTAGTGATGGGTCGCTTTGAAAAGTCCATGGACAAGTCTGAAAAGTTGACTAGTCCAAAACACACTTTTCAAAAATGGAAAGTGTATTGGACATGCGCGAAATTAAATTAACTAATTCATCTGAATTTCTTACAAATAAAGGAAAAATTTAGTTTAAAAAAGAAGAAACGCCAAATGTTGACTGACTTTTATGTTTTAACAATGTTTCCGAATTTTCGTTTTATCTTATTAAATTAAACTCGTGAAAAAAATACCAAAAAATCCAAAGGTTGGAAGTATTTTACAAATGATTTGTCTAAAAAACGAAAGCAAGTATTGTTCCCAAAAAACATTCAGGATGGAGATTTAACTGTGTGTCTCCTATTCTCAAGTGTCGACTACTTTTCATTGCGACTTTTCTTTATTTTTCCGGACATGTCCGCCAGACTAGTCCAAAAATGACTTTTCATGAGGTCCCATTTCTACTATTATGTAATGGTAGTACTGAATAAAAATAAAAATTTAACATGTACGAGCAAATATAGAATGATTAAAAAAAATATATTATTTAACCAGCTGACCCGATCCCGCTTCGCTGGAATTTCTCAAATCTCAATTATTAAAAGTTAACTAACAGTTTTTGTTACTCGTTAGAAATTTTTTCATGCGATACTTGAAAAAAAATGCATTAATTTAATTTTTATTCGTTTTTATTAGTTTTTATTTATTTTTATTTATTATTTATATTTATTTTTTATGTTCATTTTTATTTATTTCCCCCTCCTTAAAATGTGAAAATCCAAAAACCTTTAAATACGTCATTATATGAGTAGCTACAATTCCAACTTTCATATTCCCACCTTTAAAAAATCGATACTTTCATCCCTCTTCCCCCTTCTCCCTATTTTTTCACTTTCCCTATTTCCTCTATTTCCCCCTTTCTCCAAACTTTCGCATTTATGTAGTAGTAGAGTTTTTATGATACTTCCCATGCCCCCCTCCTTTAAATGCGAAAATCCAAAAACCTTGAAATACGTCATTATTTTATGAGTAGCTGCAAAGTCTTCACCTTACACCATCATATTAGGAATTCATAGAACTAACCAATAAATACACAATCTCTGTACACAATATTTAGGCATTCCCAATGAACTGGAGTGGGGTAGAAAGATAATGTGCATATTGTATCAATTGAACAAGATGCGACTCGATGGGCGCAGCCATTTTTATTTCTCATCTCACTCGGGAGTATTTATAATAGCCATTCTCTGTTTCACATTGTTATTGTTCAATCCACAGGCTGGTGGATCAGACAATAACAAAGTGAAATAGAAAATGGTCGTTATAAATACTCCCGAGTGAGATGAAAAATAACCTGTCTTCGCCCATAGAGTCGCATCTCAAGCCTATTGACAAGCATTCTACCCCACTCCAGTTCATTGGGCATTCCATACAAATGAAACGCGGTGCTAAGGTTTGGTATGTTTAAAGGGCTGCGACATACGATGTAGTCTATCTGCATTATATGAAATCATAAATAATGGATGAAATTTATAGTATATTATTAAACGAGCAAATAATGGCTATAAATTGCGAGTCTAATACTATACTTTGTCCACGGCCATTATGGTTTCTTTATTAAAAAAAAGTTAAGAGTATAATGGACAGTTTTTATTAAACATAGGTAACTAACTGTTGTTTTTTCGACTTATCAATTTTCCGATTTGCTAATTATTCTAATTTCTGATTTTTCGATTTTCTGATTTTTAGATTTTTCAATTTTTCGAAAATATTATGCAAAGTGTCGCCCATCTTTAGTTATCTACCTGAATGTGCCAGAATTACAAAAGCGTGAATTATCATAATTCACTCTAGTGATATATCGGTACCTTATGCTTTTAGTTAGGAGGTAGAATATTGATTTATTATTTTTCCGCACCATTTTAAAAGGCACTTAGTGTCCTCTGATTTTTTGTTAAATAAATATTAAAATCAATACTGTTGGGTGTCCACATAAACACAAATTTGCAATAATTTTGAAACTAGCAAATTTCAATACAGCAGAAACAACTAAACCAAAGTAAACAAACTAAAAGCACAACAATTTTCACTAAACACCTCGTGCTTTGGGCTAAAGTTATCCCTGTTCACGCCGACCAGCGTCATGGCTACCATGTAAGTCATACGCAAGCGCACGAACTTTACAGTACAGCACTTTCAAAATAAATATACTCCATTAGACGCTGCATGGATGGCACAAAATTTTCTCGCGCATGTATTATTTACTGGCGTTCCAGTAACAGTTACAGTTCAGTGACTTTGTTACTTTATAAGAAACGTCCAAGCACAATATATCCCCTATAGTAATGTAACTGGGATTCAAGAAATGGCTTTGAGTTACGCTGCGGCCAGACACAGGTCTCATGGCGCTAGTATCGTTATTGATTTTTGACTTCGGCACGTTCATTGGTTGACGACGAATTCAAAACAATCTGATCGGAGCGTTACTCACTCCCACTCCTTCTCTTTGTTTAGATACTTATAAAAGAAAGAGATACCAGTTAATAATTTCTATTTCGAATCATCTTTCATTCTTTAGCGTTGAGTTTTTATAAGTGAAGCGTGAAGTGTCAGTGTTGACAAGTGATAATTTTTTGATTTTTTCTTCTACGAAATTTAATATTAATTTTGTTTCAGCGATATTTATTGTGATTTGTGTTGTTGTATTAAGTGCTTTCTTATTTAATATGGGAAACAAAACGTACAACAAACTCAGAAAAAGAGGAATCGAGGAGGGATTGCTATCTATGGCTGTCATCCAAGGGTCTGCGCCCTAGATAATACTTTTCCAGTGGGAAAAGCCTTTAAAATTCAAGTATAACAATTTTATGTTTCCGTTTTCCCTTCTTTTAATCTAGGTGCCAATTTTGAGGTAAGTTTGTAATAATTTTTCAGTTTTTACCTACCCTCTTAATATTATAATTTAACTATGATCTTATGCTTTCCTATGGACACGATTCAAGGAGGGAGTCCTATGGCTGTCATCCAAGCCCTAGATAATAGTTTTCCAGTGGCAACAGCCTTTAAAATTCAAGTATAATAATTTACTTTTTTCGAAGTAGATGTCCATTTAAACTAAATTTTTTTATTTAACTTATTGATTTTAGCATTTATATACAGTATCGGCTAATGAACACTTTCCAATACGCTTGGCTAGAATCGAAAATAAAACTAAAGAGTTAGCGCATTAGTTTGATCAGGAAACGAATAATATGAATGTTGCCTTGTGTGCTGTGTAATATGAACAGGCACACGGTGTGATGCATCCCCACGTAGCCGGCTGGCTACGTTCATAGTATTCTATTCCTTCTCCCACTAATGCTAACTCTTTGTAGTTTTTACTTGGACATTAGCAAAACGTATTGTACAACATTCGATAGCTGCCACTGTATTATCACAAACATCTCTTAATAACTAAATGATTTCATTTAATAGTTTCTTTTTTTTTTTCAGTAAAATGGATATGGCTAGAGTTATCTTCGTCTTTAAAATATATTAAATAAGTTTTATAATTTTTCAAATAAAATACTTTATACAATTTTTTGTTTTTTTACCAGAGCCAATTTTTTTTCAGATCTAACCTCTATAGGTAAAAAATAAGTGATTTAGGTAAAATTGAAAAGTATATTACATGTTCTTTTAAATGTGTTGTTAATCCAAATGCTGCTCTTATTGTAATAGCTAATAATAAAAGAATTAGTATTATTTTTAGCTATCAAAATAAAAATAGCGCCTGGATTTACAGCTCGTTTAATCGAACATGCAATATACTTCTCAATAATTATTGCCGAATGAATATATTTAAAAATTCCCGCCATTCCGCGGCTGAAAATTTACAATTTTGGCGGGAAATTTAAATTTCGCCTTTAAATTATATTTGAATTTACCGCCATATCGAGTTAGTTGAGCGGCCAGACACAGACGCATTCTTGCGCTGCAAACTTAGTGCCAACTCTTTAACAAGTGAGATGCACTACTATAGGGGATATATTGTGCGTCCAAGACACTTCAACCACCTTTTCAACTGCTCACAACTATGCGCTTCCATAGAGTTTTAAAATAGTTAATCACCATTAACGATTTTTTCTAATGATTAATTTTTCTGTAGCTTTCCCAGCCATTGTCGATCAAAACAGTACGAAACTTTTGAATTACCGCTATTTCAACATGATGGCTGCGCTTGCGTTCATCACATGATGAAAAGGTCTACAGTTAGCTTAAAATTTGCTCGCGCATTGTTGCTAGCGTTCAGTGATGCCTACACGCGGTGTGATAGTGATTTCTGAACGCTCCCTTGGGCCACGGAAGTTTGGTTGGGTTTGTTGCATGTTTGTTGTGTTTTATCTTATGGTGTTGTCATGTTCTGTTGGTGTTGTCATGTTCTGTTGGTGTTGTTCTATGTTTTAGCTTAGCCACACAAATATTTTTAGCCTAAAATTTTGGGAGATGGAGGTTGAAAAGGAGGAGCGTCCAAATATTAGGATAGAAATTCAAAATGAAAAAATGGAAGTTGAACAATCCGAAAATGAAGATGGTGAAATCATAGACGAAGAACCAATTCAAGTAAACACTTTTATTTTTAATTGTGACATCTGAAATTTTATAAAGCTAATTGTGTACGTTTTTGATTAAAAATTAACTTATTGTTAAGGTTCAGCCAAATTCAAGAACAGTTTTTACAACAGGAATAAATATTTTTGACCATGAAGAACAAAAGAAATTACAAGAAAGGGCAAAAAGATTTGCCTTAAAGCCAGAAGAGACTTACAGTTTTACTGATGCTGATCTGGAAGAATTAAGAGAAAGTTTGGGAATTATAGAAGAAAATGAAAATCTGGTCCGTTTAGATACAGTCCATCTGTTAGGAACAAAAGATATGTTAATTGAGGATATTTTGGATTATTTTGCCAAATACGCCCCAATAGAAGTAGAATTTGTAGATGAGCAAAGTGTTAATATAAAATGGTTAGATAATGTCACTGCAGCCAGGGCTATGTTTTATTCATCTAAAGCTGTAAAAGATATGCCTGTCAGGGAACAAGTTTTGGTAAAAGATTTTTTGGATACAGACCAACTTGAAGAAAAAGGTCAAAGTATTTTACTGAAAAATAGACAGGTTGAATTTCAGGTCAGTGTATTATTATTTCATTGTTTTAAATGTTAATACCATTAGTGTATGTCTAATTTGAGCCCTTCTTGATTTTGTAAAAATGTGGTACCCACACAAATAAGGATGTGAACTCGTTTCTCACTATCATATAATCTACTGTGGAAATGTTAAATAACAAACCACATTTAACTAAATATCCATTACGTTTATATATGTCGCAGGCTTATGGTAAAATCAGTCTTATAATATGTCTAGGCTTTTTCAATACGACTAGACATATATACCTACTACCCAAATATGTAAGAATCTCACAATTTGATTGATCATTTCAGGGGTATTATAATAAGCCTGCCGATTGTTAGTCTTATTGCTAAATTGTACAGATGTCCAAGTTTTAGAATCTGACTAGTTAAAATCCGTCGTATCATAATACGACTGACAATATATCAGGCGAATTGTGTTTATAATACGACTGATGCATGATGGTGTACCATGCCAACTATACTCAACCATTGATTTTGAACACTCTAAACTATTTAAAATTCGAATACAAATTATAGATTAGGATTATTTATTGCAGCATGGTTCGCTTTTATGACATTTTATGGTACATTTCATAGGAGCTGTAAAACATTTTTTTATATTTTTACACATATTTTTCTTAAATCTAAAATTCTTCCATGATTTAATACCCCACAAGCCATGTTTTGTAACAAAATAATTTTACTACAAATACCCCCCCTTTTCTTGAGTCTGCCGTCAATATTATTTAATCATTTCAGAAAAAATTATTAGAAATTATTTTATTATTTGAGGTTACTTTTATGTTTTCAGTTCTCTTACTGTTATAAAATTTTTCTACTTCAAAATAATTTTATTTATTATAATATAATTAATATGTTGCACAAATATAACTTGGGTGCAAAAAACAAAAAACATCTAATCAACTAAACAATAATCATGATTGCAATTCGCCTGGCACATCCTCAGTCGTATTATAATACGACGGATTTCATATAGTCGGATTCAAAAACACATCCGCGTCGGTTTAATTTAAGAATAAGACTAACAAGCAGCAGGCCTATTATGCCTGAAATTATCAGTCAAATTGTGAGATTTTTAATTATTTGGGTAGTATTATGATAAGACTGATTTTACAATAAGCTTGCGACAAATACACTATGAACTAAAATGGGACAAACACAACAAGCCAATAGGCTGAAGTCCCAAGTAACTCTAAACTCTACTGCTGGCAAATATGTTTAGCATTTTATTAAGGCTTTATTTGAGCATTTATTAGAAGCTGCCAAATAGCTTTGACTGCTAAATAAAAGAGCCAGTTAGCAATGATTGCTAATGGGCCAAACATACCTATTCATCAAATAGTAGAATTAATGACTTTTTATATGCAATTGAATGCAAGGTTATTTGGCATTTAAATTAGACTTATACCCACCATAAATGCTTCATTTAATGCTTTTTAACAAATATGCTTTTGTCTTTTATTGACATTAATCTGAAGTTGGTCAGTAAACTTGTTAAATTCAGAAAATATGGACAGGCAGGTGCATATCACACAAACATTGGATTTAAATAATATAACCTTACAAATTTTATAAGCTTCCAAGTGGCACTTTTGTCAGCTGAATTACATTCATTATGCTTTATATGCTTTATATTGGCATTGGTGAGTGCTTATACTTATTTAATGCCCCCAAACAAACAATAAATCTAGTCTAAACGTTCTAGGCTAGATTTATTTTTATCAAAATTTCAGTTCTACAAAATGTATCTAAAAATAAATAAATTACAAATTGGAACAACAAAATAAAGAATAAAATATTTTGGTCCACATATGATTTTGTTATTGAAATTATTACCTTTTCTGCAACAGTAGAAAAATAGTCATCAAAACTATCTGGTTTGATAGAGATTGGTTTTGTAGTGCCATTGGTTTTTTATTTCTGTGATGATGATTTCCCATGCACATTATTGGAATATAAGTAGGGATAGAACTATACCTATATTGATATCGGTATAGTGGCAGTTGTTGCCGATTATCGGTATCCTAACGTATCAGCAAAAATTTTTTCTGTGCTTTTTACTCTTTTCAGTGCATAAATGAAATACTTTATTAAGGCTGTATGTCACGATACTAAATTAAGTACTAAATTTAGCACTAAATTAAGTTATTAATTTAGTACTAAATTTAGAACTAAAAATTTTTTTTTCCGTTTGCAACGATACCAATTTTTAGTACTAAATTTACTATAGGCGCACGCGCATTGACGTATTAATACGTAAAATTAACAGAGAAATGAAATATTATGTGTAAAACAAACAAGTAAATGGTGTTTTTATTATCAATTTGACACTAGTTGACTTGACAACAACCAAATACAGCATAAAAACCACGAAAAAAACACAATAAAACCTACAAAATCAAACAAGCGAACTTTATTCAAGGCGATAATGTAAAATTGTCGCTAATTAAAAATAAAAGGGTACAGAAAATACCGTCGTGTCAACTTTTTCTATGAAAAACTTCTGCGCAACATTTCGGCGCACTTTTAGTACTTAATTAATGACTTTTTTTAGCACTAAATTTAGTACTAAATTTGCTGTTTGCAACGTGAATTTTTTTAGTACTTAAAAAATGCATTAATTTAGTTCTAAATTTAGTACTTAATTTAGTATCGTGACATACAGCCTTTAAACAAAATATTTTTCTTTATTCTAAAGGTAACATTTTTACTAAAAAAGTAAAACAAATCCTAACACCTAACAAATATACCTAATGTAGCAAGTACTAAATACAGTATATACTTAAAATTTAATTTATTGATATTATGATGCAAAAACACCAACATTTCAGCCCTATCTGCATTTAGTCTATTTCTTATAGGCATGTAAATATGACCTAATTCACTAAAAAGTTGTTCACCTGACACACTGCCAGCGGGTGCTGAAAGGTAGACTGAAGCTGTGTTGTACAAACTGGGACATTTCTTTTTTCTGCCCCCCACCACTCAAAAGGAGATTTATCTTTTTATAAGAGTTGAAGATGCCAAATATAATATTATTTCATTTGCACATCCTTGCTTCATGTATATTGTAGTACTGGTCTTGGAAGCCGAAGTAGAGGCAATGCTGTCAGAAGTTTCCCAAAATGTATTTTGCTTACCTATTTTGTAAATGACTTAAGGTAGTATAATCTTCATCTTCCAAAGATTCTGGATCCACTTCAGCTACTGTTTATTGCCTTTTTATTATATTTTTAATATGAGATAAATGTTTATTCTTTAGTATCTTTTGTACCTACACCAGCAAATATTCTGTTAAGGTTATGACTAATTTATTTTTATTTATTTATTTATTTATTTATTCAAATAGGTACACTACAGAATTATTATTATTATAAATGGTACACAGAATTAAAAAAAAAAAAATTAACAATAAATACATGTATGTAGAATACCTACACAAAAATATCACATTCACAAAATCACATACATAGAAATAGGTTTAAATATTAAAGCTCAAAAAAAAAAAAATTATTTTGAAAGTTTCAAATTACTCTTTAGCGCATACAACGTTGTGTTAAATAGGTCACAGTCGGAGTAAATCTTATTGTTAATGTGGCACATACGGTCAATAAATGCTCTTTGTGCATAGTTGGTTCTATGTCTTCTTGATGAAAAACAATGAAGTATGACGTGTACGTCGAGTAGGTGCCAAAAAGCTAATTAATTGTAAAAGGACGCTACAGTCAATCTTACCGTTAATTAATTTAAACAGAAACAGAACTATTGCATGTCTTCTTCTGATTTCTAAGCTTTGCATACCACATAAAAGCAGTCTACTAATGGAATCACTTCAGAAAGGCAATATTGTTCTTTACTTGCGGTTTTTGTAATTTCTTCAAATGGCCATAAAATATTGAGGATGCTTTTTACCAATTCCCATTCAGAGTAAGTTAGGTTGGTGAGACCAGTATTGTTGGAAATATATAAGCTGATTGCTTCTTTTTGTTCCAATATACGCTCAAGCATATAGTAAGTACAATTCCAACGTGTCTGAATAGCCCGAATTAACTTCTGTCTTTTTTTTTAATTCAACTGGTTTTGAAATTGTTCAAGTTTATCACATGCCAATTGAGAATGAATTAAATGTCCGACGATTTTCCGAGATTTTGCAATTAAGTCATTAATAGCTCTTTGACTGTTGATGCCATCATGAATAATTAGTTGAAGTGTATGAACAAAACATGGTTCGTAGTTTATATTGACTTCTTGCATTGCTTTCTTCATATTGCCTGTGTTATCAGCAATTACGACATGAACATCATTTATAGCCATAGCATAATGCATTTCTGTTAAACACTTGGCAATGGTTTCACCACTATGAGTTCCCGAAAAACCATTTGTGTTTAAAACATAGGAGCATAGCGTGCTGATGCAATGTCCAGAGATAAATGATTTATTGCTGTTACTGGTCCATATGTTAGTAGTAAATGATATTTTTCCAGATTATGCTTCAATATTCTTTTGCAGAGTCCTTTTACATTGTTCGTAAATATTAGGTAAAACAGTTTCTTTAAAGTAGTTTTCTGAATGCATTTTATATTTAGGAACAGCTTTTGCAATGAGGTGTTTAAAACCCATATCACGAAAAATTGAAAATGGCTGGTTATTAACTGCAATCATTTCTCCAATTAGTTTGTGATACTCCTTTGTTTTATTGCTATTTATGTCTCATAAATTTTTTAATGCAAAATATTTCACAACATCAGATTGAGTAGAATTGCACTTTGGTGCTGTCAAATTCTGTGTAGGTTCGTTGGCCCTCTTAACAACTGTGTGTGGGGTCATTTAAGTATGCAGCATATGGAATTTTTTTTAATAATGGCGTAACTAAAATACAGGTATTGCCTAAAGTTGATGCATGTTCGATAATTATTCAGGTGAATTATTTTAAGTAAAACAATACAGGGTAAGTAAAAAAATAGAGGGTCCTGC